CTTGAGCCATACCTCTCGCCTGGCTTTGTTTTGTTTTGTTTTTTCCACAATTGTTTTGGAGATGGAGACTTTGGGACTTTTTTGCCTGGACTGGTCTTGAAATGCCTCCTGGGTAGCAGGGATTACAGGCATGTTACCAGTACCCAGGTGCTTCATGCCTTCATCCTTATACTGTCATTTAATGTCCTTTTATTGTCATTTAAACGAGCAGTGGATGGCATGTGTTTAATCCATTATCTTTAGACAGAAACTCTGGCATAGATTGCAATAATAATAATATATTAAAATAGTTTATATATATATTTACATATTAAAATCATTTATACAACAGGTGTGGAGAGGTATTTGTCAGGACTAGGGTTTGAATTCAGAGCTTCACATTGTCACTTGGCTTTTTTTGCTCGAACTTGGTGCTCTTCCACTTGATCCACACCTCCACTTTCAGCTTTTTGCTGATTAATTGGAGATAAAAGTGTCTGGGATTTGTCTTACTAGGCTGGTTTCAAACGGCAATCCTCAGAACTCAGCCTCCTGAGTAGCTAGGATTATAGACATGAGCCACCAGTGTCTGGAAATAAAAGAAAGTTTTGAAGACATTCACAATACAGAAATGCTGAGCACATTAACCAGCAGTTCCCACTGGCCACATTCAGTAGTTACCAACCCATGGCCATTCTCCTCACATCTCTATCTCTGCCCTTTGCCCTTCCCAGCTTATTTGAGGCAAATTCCAAACTTCATTTATAAATCAATTACGGATCTGAAGTCCTTATGTAACCCCCTCTAGAAAATGAATTTCTGATTAGGGTACTTCAATTGCTCACTAATTCCCCTACAGTGTGAGTGCCTAATTAGAGTTCTTCAAATGGGAACAGCCCCTAGGGTGTAGATTAAAGCTAATCTATGTGCCCACACATTGGGGACTAGTCATACTAAAGTAGTTGAAAGTGAATCACCATACAGACCCCCTAAACACTGTGAAACTCAAATGACTGAGAACTACTGGGTTTTGTTGTATGACTAAGCAGAGGATTAAGAGAGAAAATACTCGAGTTGATATGTTTTATTCTTGGAAGAAGAGAGTTATCAGGGGGCAAAAAAGGTATTGTGTGGAGACAGATGGAGACTTGGAGATGGTGTTGACTTGTAGACTTTAACCGTGCATTCATTTTAATGGCTGTTCTTGTGGAAATGTGTACAATGCTTTTGTGCTCACCTAAGAGAATTCTCTCAGTGTGGCAAGAGTTCAGAATGACCTCGGGGGGATAGAGAGAGGAAAAGGTGACACAAGTTGACAGAGAGAGGGTCAGGCCTTGACTCCTGCCATTGCGTCACAATCCTCTTTCACATAAGAGGTAAAAGAAAGGCTGTGTCTGCTACTCTCTTGGGCAGGGGAGGTTTTAAATCCCTTGTACCACTGAATCTTTTGATAGTCTGAAATTTGTGGACTCCCTCTCAGAATAATAATAGTAGATTTGGGGGGGGGGGGCATTTCTGGGGCTTGAACTCAAGGCTTGAGCACTATCCCTGAGCTGCTTTTGCTTGACCCACAGTGACACTTCTGCATTTTTCTGTGTATGTGGTGCTGAGGAATCAGGCAAGCACTACCACACAAGCCACATTCCCAGCACACTTCTCTTTTTTCTGTGTTGGTTATAGGACTGTGTGCTGTCCTTGAGCTTTTTAGCTCAAGGGTAGCACTCTAACCTCTTTGTGCCACAGCTGCAATTCTGGTTTTTGAATGGTTAACTGGAAATAAGAGTCTCATGGGGACATTTCTGCCTGGTCCAGCTTTGAGTCACATCCTCAGATCTCAGCCTCCTAAGTAGCTAGGATTATAGTTGTAAGCCAGCAAAGCCTGGCATTGAAATCATTTTCTTAAATACATAAAATACACAGGATTAAAAAGAAGCCAATTACGTTGCAGTATAGTTACCAAAATATATATATTTTTTTGGGGTCTGGTTGTGGGGCCTGAACTCTGGGCCTGGGCGCTGTCCCTCAGCTCTTCAGCTCAAGGCTAGCACTCTACCACTTGAGCCACAGCGCCACTTCCAGCTTTTTTCTTATGTGGTGCTGAGGAATCGAACCCAGGGCCTCATGCATGCAAGGCAAGTGCTCTACCACTGAGCCACCTTCCCAGCCCAGTTACCAAAATATTTTAAACATGTGGTGCAACAATAAAAATTGTTCTTTTATTGACACATTAAGTAACAAGATCTTGTGGCAGGTATAATTAATATAATTTGGAAGTGGGAATGAGTATAAACTATGTTGAGATATCTGCAACAACTCTAAGGTGATACAAAAATAAGTAAATTCTTTAGGTGACAAATTCATAGGAATTGCTGGTTTGTTTGTTGTTTTGTTTTGTTCAGTCATTGGGCTTGAAGTCATGGCCTGTATGCTGTCTCTGAGCTTTTTCACTAAAGGCTAGCACTCTACCATTTTGAGCTACAGTGCCACTTCTGACTTTCTGATGGTTAATTAAGGTAACAGTGCCATGGACTTTCTTGCCCAAGCTGGCTTTGAACCATGATCCTGATCTCAGCCTCCTTCCTGAGTTGTTAGAATTACAGGCGTGGGCCACCAGTGCCCAGCTTACACTAGGTTCATTGCTGCATATGTTCACCATGGAGGGAGTGTTCATTTGCAGTGAGTGCAAATAAGCCCCTTTTCTCTGATCCAAGTTTAAAAAACATCTTCCACTCAAAACTGTATCTACAAGCTCTCTTCCCACCAAGGAACCCCAGAATCTTGGCTAAGACTCTAATGTCAGGGGAGTTCAAATGAGTGGTTTAAGTCCATAACAGTCTATGCTGGACATAGAAATGCAGGGATAAAGAACTCACATTTGGGGCTGGGGAATGTGGCTTAGTGGTAGAGTGCTTGCCTAGCATGCATGAGGCCCTGGGTTCGATTCCTCAGTACCACATACACAGAAAAAGCTGGAAATAGTGCTGTGGCTCAGGTGGTAGAGTGCTAGCCTTGAGCAACAGAAGCTCAGGAATAGTGCTCAGGTCCTGAGTTCAAGTCCCAGGACTGGCAAAAAAAAAAAAAAAAAAAGACCCCACATTTGGCAGGTACAATGACAACTTACTGTGCTCAGGAGTCCAGGAGAGGGATAAAGGTCTCTTGGAAGAGGGATGCCTGAAATGCAAATGTATATAGAGATATGTGTATCTATTATTTGATTTGAAATCAAAGTGAACTTGGATCTTAGTATGGTGGTGCACAATGGAGATTGTGGGCGAACTGTCCCTATTATTCTCTCCATCTTGCCTTGGGGTCAATCTATGTTACAGCATGAGATGCCCTTCCCTCCTCAACACACGTACACTCAGTTCTTTCCTATGAGCCTCTTTCTGGGGTTTGAACTCAGGGTTTTAGGTACTCTGGTGGAACCATACCTCCAAGTCCTTTTTGCCTTTTTTTGGGTGTGTGTGTGTGTGTGCAGGTCCTGGGGTTTGAATTCAAGGCCTGGGTGCTGTCACTGAGCTTATTTTTTTCTTAACACTCTACCAAATTGAACCACAGGTCCACTTCTGGCTTTATAGTAGTTGGTGATAAGAGTGTCATGGACTTTCTGCCCTGGCTGGTTTTGAACCTTGATCCTCAAATCTCAGATTCCTGAGTAGTTGTGGTTATAGGCATGAGCCGTCAATATCCAGATTTGTGATTTTTTTTTTTTAATACTTCAGAAGCTTGATGAAGAACTCCGTTTATCACTTAAATCTCTTGATCTTACATAGCAATAAATAACATCCATCACTGGTGAAATTCAATGTATCAAATCAGAAACTTCACATAAGGACATGTTAAACTCCTTCCCATCTACGCTTTCAGCAGTCAGACATGACATGCACACCGTATTACTCTCCCCTTTTCTTTTAGATCTCTCCCACCCCCTTTTTTTGGTGCCAGTCCTGGGTCTTGAACTCAGGACCTTGGCACTGTCCCTGACCTTTTCTTGCTCAAGGCTAGCATTCTATCACTTAAACCATAGCTCCATTTCTGGCTTTTGGGATAGTTTGTTGAGATAAGATTCTCACAGGTTTTCCGGCCAGAGCTGGCCTTAAACGGCTATGCTACCTCAGCTTCCTGTGAAGTTAGGATTACAGGCATGAGTCATGTGTGTTTGGCCTTTTCTGGACCTCTTGAAGACCTCAGGCATTGTCAAAGTCAGAAACCAGATATGGCCTAAGTCACCAATCCCTAGATTATTATGAACAGAACCATTTTGTTCAGGACTGTAATGATCCTGGAAAATTTATTGTTGTAGCCATTCCCAAGACAGTGCTGGCCAGGGACAACCTACTGCAGGGAAGGTGGAAATGTGACTCGCCTGAGGAGACACTTCTCTACTTGTTGTTTCCACATTCTAGCAGTACCCCAAAGTCTCATGTGAGGAAGAATGGGCCTCTGAGTGGCCCTTGGTGGCAGGAGGCCCTTAGGGCATTGTGGGTGTGCACTCAGAAAGGATGGTGGGACACCACCCATTTGGTTTCCTGTTTTGAGATGAGATCTTACATGTTCTTCATTCAAGATGGGACTTATACTATGCCATTTGGACTTGAAGCCTTAAAATAGGAGCTAAACAACCTTTTCTCCTTATAAAGCTTGCTGGCTTCACATAGTCTATCATAGTAATGAAAAGTGGGAAAATGTAAACAAGTACTCTGTTGCCATTTGAGATATGGCTAACTTACTGAATTTCAAAGAAGTATGGTCACTGAATGAAAAATGTTAGGAGGATTGTCTAAAATTTGTTCCTAATTTTGGGTGGGATTTTGTTTGTTTGTTTTGGGGTTAAGGAATGGGTCCAGAGCCTTGCACATACTAAGTGCTTTACCACTTGAGTTATGTCCCCAGTCCATTAGATAATAGTTTTGAAGCTTTAAATGCTGGCTTTTTTCTCAGGAATATATTTTAGGTACCATCATACTTTTTCAAAAAAATTTCAACATTTATACTAGTCAAATTAGGAATAATAACAAAAATTTCTAGTAAATTTTTATTTAATTTATTATAATGTCCACCTTTTCACAGCTTGAAAAAAAATTCCATGATATTAATTGATCTGTATGTTATTTTCTTTTAGAATGTCCCTTTTTTCATTGAAATAATTTCTAAACCACTCTATGTGTTCAACCTTCTGTTTAACACTCAGATATGGGTTTTTAGAAAGGCCACACGTCACCAGCTCCATGAAGTGGCGGATGGGACCTTGTTTTGGAAAACCTTCAAGGTACTTATCCAGAAATACATGCTCATGAAATTCTGAACCATCATCATCAAAACCTAGAAAACAAGACAAAATAAGTCACATTATAATGTTGAATGTGAAGCCTAAATCACAGATTTAATATCAACGAGATAACATATAACATGAAGGCATAAACCTTGGAGGTAGACCTAGGTTTAATCACAAATTTAATAACTCTAATTTCTGGCAGATTAACTTCTCCGAGTGTTAAGTTTCCTTAGGAATAATATGAAGGTTAAAAAAATAGGTTCTAGGGTTTTTTTTATAAAGATTAACTAGATACAAAAATGTTTAGCCAAGCTGGGTGCCCATGGCTCATACCTGTAATCCTAGCTACTCAGGAGGTTGAGATCTGAGGATTGGGGTTCAAAGCCAGCCCAGGCAGGAAAGTCTGTGAGACTCTAATCTCCAATAAACCACCAGAAAACCGGAAGTGGCGCTGTGGCTAAAGTGGTAGAGCACTTGCCTTGAGCTGAAGAGCTGAGGGACAGCACCCAGGCCCAGAATTCAAGCCCCATGACCAACAAAAAAAGCTCCAAAAAACAAAATATGTAGCCCAAACTAAGCATCCAAAGTATATAGAAGCATTAGTTGCTAATGAGATGTAATTTTTTATAGTTGGGAAAAACACAACCCAGGAAGTAAAATGTGAACAACAGGATGTATCACTGTGTCATTTTCTTTATTATGTTTCAAATGACACAGTGAGCCACTATAGACAAAACATCTTTCTCCAACAGCATCAAGTTTTGCATCAAAGTATGGAAGCCCCAGGTTACAAAGCCAGTCTCTCAAAGTATTCATAGGTTTCCAAGTTTGTACTGAGCAGTGATCTATGAGTTTCCTGTTTCCTTTGGATAAGCATTGCTTGAGGAGCTGGGATGAGACACCTTGCTTTACATAGTTAAAGACATTAACCCAAAAACATGTACGGCATATGTGGTCCTTGTCAAAATTATCTTGTTAAAATTATGTCCCCCCACTGGGTGACACTGGCTCACACCTGTAATACTAGCTACTCAGGAGGCTCAAATCTGAGAATCACGTTCAAAGCTGGCCTGGGGAAAAAAAGTCCATGAGACTGTTATTTCCAATTAACCACTCAAAAACTGGAAGTGATTCTGTGGCTCAAGTATAGACCACTAGCCTTGACCACAAAGATGATCAGGGACAGCATCCAGACCCTTAAGTTTAAGTCTTGCAATTGACAAAAAATAAAATTTCCCAACTTGATTTAAACATCTCTTTTTTAGATCTTAAAACTGGGCTGGGAAGGTGGCTCAGTGGTAGAGTGCTTGCCTCGCATGCACGAGGCCCTGGGTTCGATTCCTTAGCACCACATAAGCAGAAAAACCCGGAAGTGGCGCTGTGGTTCCAGTGGTATAGCACTAGCCTTGAGCTGAAGAGCTGAGGGACAGAGCCCAGGCCCAGAGTTCAGGCCCCATGACTGGCAAAAAAAAAAAAAAAAATAGACCTTAAAACTTCCTCAAAAGTCAAATTTTATCCACCATCATGCCCAGCTTTATTGATTGAAATGAGGCCTTACTAACTTATTGCTGGGGCTGGCCTTGAGCTGCAATCCTCCAGAGTAGATGGGACTCTAGGTATGAGCCACAGTGCTCACAACTTGCATTCAGCAGCTTACACAAGTACCTTGCATCATCTTAAGGCAATGGTTTTATGAAGTTCAAACACCACTATGAGAATCTAAGAGTTATAGCCAGGTGTCAGTGGCTTATACCTGTAATCCTGGCTACTCAGGAGGCTGAGATCTAAGGATCGTGGTTCAAAGCCAGCTCGGGCAGGGAAGTCTGTGAAACTCTTTATCTCCAATTACCCACCAGAAAACAGGAAGTGGAGCTGTGGCTCAAGTGATAGAGCAATTGCTTTGAACTGAACAACTCAGGATAGTACCAAGCCCAGAGTTCAAGCCCCATGACTGACCGGAAAAAAAAAAAAAACAAAGAAAAAAAAAAAAAGAATCTAAGAGTTGCAACATTCTCCAAAATTGAACAATAGTTTCAAATCTAATGCTGTATATATTAGAAAACACACCAAGAAATATCCCACTTGCAACTAGAAACTTTATGATTTGTAATCCTTCATCCTTTTATCCTTAAATAAAACATTGTTGGGGTTTGAGGAATGGCTCAAGGGATAGAACACTACCTAGCAAGCCTTGAGTTCTATCCCCTGAGAGCAAAACAGCATTAATTTGCTGACATCATAAAGATATCTACAATGTTTTGAGACTCATAAATCTCTATATTGTAAAATGTAACATCTTTCAGAAATATCTACATGTTGGAAACATCTGAAGGTAGCACTTACCTGCCTCATTGTTGATTGGGAACTCCCATAACTTGCCCTCCTTGGTCCACTGGATCATCTCTTCAAACCCATTCTGAAAGGGCTGTTCATTTACTGTGGCTAACTGCTTCGCAAATTCTATCTCCCAAAGGGAAGGCGGTGTCTCTGTGTCATAAAAAAAAACTTTAAGTAAGCACAAGGCAACGTAAATGTCTTTCTTCTTAAAGATGTTATCAACTTGGAAGTGAGAATCTATTTGTAAATCTTGATATTCCTAATTAAACAGTATACAATGAGAACTAAAATTGTAAAAGAAAAAAATATATAAAGACTACAATAATGGCAAATCTTAATTCTGGGTGTGTACGCATGGGCATGTGCAAGCACACGTGTGCACACATTTGCATGCTAGTACTGGTGCTTGGAACTTGGGACCTGGGTGCTATGCCTTAGCTTTTTTGCTCAAAGCTGGAGCTCTGCCACTTGAGCTACAGCTCCATTACTGACATTTTGCTGGTCAATGTGGAGGTAAGTTTCATGGGCTTTCCCATCCAGGCTTGGTTCAAATTATCCTCAGATCTTAGTCTCTTGAGTAGCTAGGATTACAGGCAGGAACCACTGGCACCCAACTGGAAACCTTAGCTTTTATAGCACTGCAATGCCAAGTACTTATTATTTTTTACTGGGAAGGAAAAACAATGCATTTTTATTTATGATTGTGAAATGTACCTTTTTTTTTTAATCATGGGGCTTGAACTCAGGGCCTGGGCACTGTTCTGAGCTTTTTTGTTTTTGTTTTTGTTTTTTTTTTTTTTGGGTCCGGTCATGGGGCCTGAACTCTGGGCCTGGGCGCTGTCCCTCAGCTCTTCCGCTCAAGGCTAGCGCGCTACCACTTGAGCCATAGCACCACTTCCGGCTTTTTTCTTTTTGCTTATGTGGTGCTGAGGAATCGAACCCAGGGCCTCAGGCATGCAAGGCAAGCGCTCTACCACTGAGCCACCTTCCCAGGCCTGTTCTGAGCTTTTTTGCTCAAGGTTAGTACTCTACCACTTTGAGCCACAGTGCCACTCCAGTTTTCTGATCGTTAATAGGAAAATAGAGTCTCACAGACTTTGCTGCCCAGGCTGGCTTTGAACCGTGATCCTCATATTTCAGCCTCTTGAGTAACTAGGATTATAGGTAGGAGCCACAGGTGCCCAGGTTGAATATCTTTTATAAATGTGATCCTGATGCTTATAGTCCAGAATGTTAATTTTTAGTCTGTCAAAATTTATCACTGATGTAATATTACTACTGAAGACCAAAGTAGTTAAGCTAACTGAACAACAAAAATACTAAAGGGCTGGGCAGTTATGGCTCACTCTTATAAATTCTAGCTACTCAAGAGGCTGAGATCTGAGGATCAAGGTTCAAAACCAGTCCAGGAAGACAAAAATCTGAGATTTTTATCTTTTGTTAAATAGCACAAAGCAGAAAGTGAAGGTATGGCTCAATTGGTAGAATACCCACCTTGAGTGGAAAAGAATGAAGGAAGAGCTTGAGACTTGGAACTCAAGCTCAAGTACCAGCACAAGAAAAGGAAACAGAATCTAAGGGATACTGAATGCTGTGGTATATCAATATAATTTTCATAACCAACCCTATGAGCAAGGTAATATATTGGCTCTCTAGTACCATGTTACCATGCTACAAGCTTCATTACTTACTTTTGAAATTTAAGTCTTTTAGGAATGAGTCATATTCTCACCAGCCACATACAAGGACACTGAGAAAACAGTTTGATAGCTTCTTTCTTCATTTTTTTTTTTTTTTTTTTTTGCTAGTCCTGGGGCTTGAACTCAGGGCCTGGGTACTGTCTCTAAGCTTTCTTTTGCTCAAGGCTAGTACTCTACCACTTGAGCCACAGCACTACTTCTGGCTTCTTCTGTTTATGTGGTAGTGAGGAATTGAACCCAGAGCTTCATGCATGCTGGGCAAGCACTCTACCACTAAGCCACATTCCCAGCCTGATAGTTTCCTAAGAAGTTAAGAATATACTTGCAAGCCGGGCGCCAGTGGCTCATGCCTGTTATCCTAGCTACTCAGGAGGCTGAGATCTGAGGATTGTGGCTCAAAGCCAGCCCAGGCAGGAAAGTCCCTGAGACTTTTCTCTAATAAACCACCAGAAAACCAGAAGTGATGCTGTAGCTAGAGTGGTAGAGCGCTCTCCTTGAACTGAAGAGCTCAAAGACAGCTCCCAGGCCCCATGATTGACAAAAAAAAAAAAGAATATACCTGTGGTCCAACAAAGGCACTTCACTCAGCATTTGCCCAAAGAGAAAAGATAACATATTCACACAAAAATTTATACAAGTGGATTTTTTGGTCATGTGGGGGTTTTCTTGTCTTTTTTTTTTTTTTGGGGGGGGGGGGGGCGGGCCAGTCATGGGGCCTGAACTCTGGGCCTGGGCACTGTCCCTCAGCTCTTCAGCTCAAGGCTAGTGCTCTACCACTTGAGCCACAGTACCACTTCCAGCTTTCTCTGCTTATGTGGTACTGAGGAATCAAACCCAGGACCTCATGCATGCAAAGCAAGCATGCTACCACTGAGCCACCTTCCGAGCCCTTGTTGTTTTAGACAGTCTTACTATACAGGTACAGTCTGGTCTGTAAATCATGATCCCAAGCCTCTCCAAGGGTGGAGTTAAAGGCATGTAGAACCATACTCTAACACCCTCTAGTCTAATAGGTTTGTATAATCAAGAACAAAAGACATTCTTGGGCTGGGAATGTAGCTTGGTGGTCGACTGTTCGCATGTATGAAGCCCTGGGTTTGATTCCTCAGCTACACATAAACTACAAAAGCTGGAAGTGGCGCTGTGGCTCAAGTGGTAGAGTGCTGGCCTTGAGTGAAAGAAGCTGAGGGGCAGTGCCCAGACCCTGAGTTCAAGCCCCAAGACTGGAAAAAAAAAAAAAAAAAAAAGATTTCTTTTAAAAAGCCACACAAAATAGCTTATTAGAATAGAGTAATGGAGAGTAGAATGGTTACTGCATAAATTTGTGTGCTATTTATAAAAGACATAAACTTCAGTTTCCTTGCTAGCTAATTTGAGTTTTAGAAAACTGACGTTTGAAACTTTAAAAACTCGGCTGGCTCCTTCAAGAACCCAATGTCTCTTTTGTCTTGCTGAGATGCCCACAGCAGCTGCTCTGACAACAACCGCTCTTCGAGGCGGGCCTCCCTTCAGTTCCGCTTCACAGCACTCCATGGACGTGTATTTTATGGCTCATTTTGTTTGCAAAGGACTTAACATTATGATAACTATTTCTTATGATTTGTAAGTCACTTGAGTTTATTGAACAGGAGATGTTTGTATTAGTCAGTGGTAACCAAGTGCTGATAGCTCATGTCTGTAATCCTAGCTACTCAGGAAGCTGAGATCTAAGTATTCTTGTTTGAAATCGGCCCAGGTGGGAAACTCTGTGAGATTCTTATCTCCAATTAACCAGCAAAAAGCTAGAAGTGAAGCTGTGGCTCAAATGGTGGAGCACTAGCCTGGAGCAAAAAGCTCAGAGACAGCAAGCACCCAGGCCCTGAGCTCAAGGCCCTGGACCGGGACACACAACACAAAAATGCTCAGGGATAGCACCTAGGATCTAAGTTCAAGCCTTAAGACTGGAACCAAACAAAACAAAACACTACATACCTGCTACATTCCCTGACTGTTTTTCTTCCTATCTTCTGAGTAAGGCCTAACAATCTCACCATTACTTCTATAAATGCCATTTTCTCTTCAAAATAGTGAGCACTCCTAACCAGGAACCACAGTTTATTTATCATGATGTAAGAGCACAAAGGGTACACTCCAATGGCAGATGATTACTAATGTTGTAACCTAAATTACTAGTGTAAATTACTAGTTCCTATGTACCTCTGGATGGTTCAGCTGGGAATCCTGACCTCCTGTGAGTCCACAGATTATAACATTTCCAGGTATGATCAGGATTAACAACCGCAACAGCTGCATTCTTAAACAGGCTATTCCCAACCACTACCCAATCATACCACCAAAAACATCTTTGAGAGACAGACATTACTCCACTGGAGGAACAGTACTTTTAACAAACCTGCTTCAGATGCTTCTTCAGAAAATGTCTTTTCGTCAAAAATATTAAGTCTCTTTCCCAGGAATAAATTTTTCTGAAGACTAAAAATTAAAATAAAATGTTTTAGTGATTATATTTATAAACTGTCAATAAACTGTTCATGAGAAAAAAAATGATATAAAATAGTCTATACAGTTAAAGGCTGGAACAAAATCTACCAAGCAAACGGACCGCATAAACAGGCGGGAGTTGCAATCCTAATATCAGATAAAATAGACTTCAAATTAAAATTCGTGAAAAGAGATAAAGAAGGTCGCTACATACTAATTAAAGGATCTCTCCTTCAGGAGGATATTACAATTCTAAATATCTATTCGCCAAACAATGGAGCACCCAAATTTATCAAAGAAACACTACTTTCCCTCAAATCCCATATAGATCCAAAGACATTAATCGTTGGGGATTTTAACACACCACTCTCCCCGCTAGATAGATCAACTCGGCAAAAACTCAACAGAGAAACCGCAGATCTAAACAGCTGCATAGATCAACTAGACTTAACAGACATTTACCGAACATTTCACCCAGCAGCATCAGAATACACGTTTTTCTCAGCAGCACATGGAACGTTTTCTAAAATAGACCACATTTTAGGCCACAAAGCAAACTTGTCTAAATTCAGAAACATTGAAGTTATACCTTGCATTCTCTCTGACCACAAGGGAATAAAGTTAGAACTCAACACCAAAAGCCACCAAAGAAAGTCCGGTATCACATGGAGGCTGAACAACACACTGCTGAATCATGAGTGGGTCATGGAAGAGATTAGAAAGGAAATTCAAATGTTCATGCTATTCAACAAAAATGAACACACAAAATACCAGCTCCTCTGGGACACAGCAAAGGCAGTACTCAGAGGCAAGTTTATAGCTCTGAGCTCCTACATCAACAAATTGGAAAGATCTGAAACTAACAATTTAATGACACATCTAAACCTCCTTGAAAAAGAGCAGCAAGATAAACCCCAATCCAGTAGACGGAAAGAAATAATCAAAATTAAATCAGAATTAAATGAATTAGAATCCAAAAAAACTATAGAAAGAATCAACAAAACAAAGAGTTGGTTCTTCGAAAAACTCAACAAAATTGACAGACCCTTAGCAAATCTTATCAGAAAAAGAAGAGAACACACCCAAATTAATAAACTCAGAGATGAGAAAGGAAACATCACCACGGAAACAAGCAAGATTCAGAACATTATAAGGGAATACTTCTCAAAACTTTATGCTAATAAGTTTGAGAACTTGACAGAAATGGACCTCTTCCTAGCAAATATTGACATGCCAAAACTAAACCAAGATGAGGTAAACTATCTTAACAGGCCCATATCAAGCATTGAAATAGAAACAGCAATAAGAGACCTCCCAGCTAAGAAAAGTCCAGGACCAGATGGTTTTACAGCGGAATTTTACAAGGCCTTCAAAGCAGAGCTCACACCAATTCTCCTCCAACTCTTCAATGAAATTGAAAGAGAAAGCTCACTACCGAACACATTCTATGAAGCCATCATAACCCTCATCCCAAAACCAGGCAGGGACTCATCAAAGAAAGAGAACTATAGACCCATTTCTTTGATGAACATTGATGCAAAACTTCTCAACAAAATTTTGGCCAACCGACTTCAACAATTCATCCAAAAAATCATACACCACGATCAAACAGGATTCATTTCAGGGATGCAAAGCTGGTTCAATATACGCAAATCAATTAATATTATTCATCACATCAACAGGAGCAAGAATAAGAACCACATGGTTATCTCAATAGACGCAGAAAAAGCATTCGACAAGATCCAACACCCCTTTATGATGAAGGTTTTGGAAAAATTAGGAATCCATGGAACATTCCTCAATACAATAAAGGCTGTATATGACAAACCTACAGCCAGCATTATACTCAATGGTGAAAAACTAAAGCCATTTCCTCTTAACTCAGGAACAAGACAAGGATGCCCACTCTCTCCACTTCTCTTCAATCTAGTATTAGAATGCCTAGCTACAGCAATAAGACAAGATGCAGACATAAAGGGGATCCAAATAGGGAAAGAAGAAATAAAACTCTCCCTCTTTGCAGATGACATGATCTTGTATTTAAAGAATCCCATAGACTCCACTCCCAAATTACTCAAGCTGATTCAAAACTTTGGCAAAGTAGCAGGTTATAAAATTAACCCCCAAAAATCAATGGCTTTTCTGTATGCCAACAATGAGAAAAGTGTGGCTGAAATTAGGAAAGCAACTCCATTTGTAATAGCCCCACAAAAAATAAAATACCTAGGAATTAACTTAACTAAAGAAGTGAAGGACCTCTATGATGAAAACTTTAAAATCTTGAAAAAGGAAATCAACACAGAACTTAAAAAATGGCAAAACCTCCCATGCTCCTGGATTGGAAAGATTAACATCGTGAAAATGGCAATACTCCCCAAGGCTATCTACAAATTCAACGCAATACCTATCAAAATTCCACCCTCATTCTTCAAGGAAATAGAAGAGGCAATCCAAAAATTCATATGGAACAATAAAAGACCCCGAATAGCAAAAACGCTCCTCAACGGAAAGAACACTGCTGGAGGAATATCAGTACCAAATTTCAAACTCTACTATAAAGCCATAGTAATCAAAACAGCTTGGTATTGGCATAAGAACAGACCTCAGGACCAATGGAATAGAATTGAAAACCCAGAAATGAACCTACAGACCTATAGCCATCTAATCTTCGATAAGGGAGCTAAAACAATAGAATGGAAGACAGACAGCCTCTTCAGTAAATGGTGCTGGCAAAACTGGTTAACTACATGTAGAAAACTAAAGCTAGATCCTTATATATCACCCTGCACCAGAATCAACTCCAAATGGATCAAAGACCTTGAACTCAAAGCAGACACTCTGAAAACATTACAGGATGGAATAGGAGAAACCCTGGGTCTCCTTGGCACAGGCCGAAATTTTCTGAATAAAGACCCGGAAACACAACAAATCAAAGAAAGGCTGGACAAATGGGATTGTATAAGGTTGCAGAGCTTCTGCAGGGCAAATGACATAGCTAGCAAGATCAATAGAAAGCCCACGGACTGGGAGAAGATCTTTACTAGCCATACAACGGACAAGGGTCTCATATCTAAAATATACTTGGAACTCAAAAAATTAAACCACCCAACAACAAATCCTCAAAGAAACAACTGCCCAATAAGTAAGTGGGCGAAAGACTTAAAGAGAAGCTTCTCTGAAGAAGAAAGAAGGATGGCCAATAGACACATGAAGAAATGTTCAACATCCCTAGCCATAAAAGAAATGCAAATCAAAACAACATTGAGATATCACCTCACTCCAGTTAGAACAGCAAAAATCAAGAACTCTAACAACAACAGATGCTGGAGGGGATGTGGACAGAAAGGAACCTTACTTCATTGTTGGTGGGAATGTAAACTTGTTCAACCACTTTGGAAAGCAGTATGGAGGTTCCTCAAAAGACTCCACATAGAGCTCCCCAATGACCCAGCAATCCCACTTTTGGGCATTTACCCAAATGATCACAAACAAGGCCACACTAAAGCTACCAGCACAACTATGTTTATTGCAGCATTATTTACCATAGCTAAGACATGGAACCAACCCAGATGCCCCTCAGTAGATGAATGGATCAAGAAGATGTGGTATATATACACAATGGAATTCTATGCCTCCATCAGAAAGAATGACATTTCCCCATTTGTTAGGAAATGGAAAGGCTTGGAAAAAATTATATTAAGTGAAGTAAGCCAGGCCCAAAGAAACATAGGTCCCATGGTTTCCCTTATTTGCAATATCTAGTATAGGTATGAGTCAAGCGGAAAAAGTCAAATAATGTGATGTTAGGAAAACGAAACCTCAAATATGTATTTTAATGTTTTTGTTTCTTTCATGCATGTGTTTCTAACACATTTATAATATTATCTCTTTGTTGCTTTGTATGTCCCTCCCCCACAGTGTAACCCCCGCTTTCACTATATTTGATGTCAGTATAACATGTGGAGGAGATGGGGACAAACAAGTCGTTTAAGGATTCAGGTGGACCTGTTGCAACAATGAGAAGTACAAAATGTCATGTCAAAACCAGCTTTACAATGTCGGGGGGGGGGGGGGGGGGAGGGGGGGTATGATTGGGTGGGAGGGAGGGGGGAGGCTGGGAAGGGAGGTGAAGGGTAAACAAAGGAGGAGGCTGCAATGCTTGGTAAGAAATGTATGCATTATCCTGCCCATGTAATTGTAACCCCTCTGTACAGTATGTTCTCAAATAAAATAAAATTAAATTAAAAAAAAAAAAAAATAGTCTATACAGAAATTACTGATCCATATCAGACATTTAAGTTAAACTACCAAGTTTTTAGGACTCTTAACTTTATAAAAACAGGAACATAGCACCTTGAATTTTTGTTTCAGGATATAACAAATCAGTCATAAAGATTTAATTTGCAAATTACCTCACTTTTTAAGTAAGCTTAGTTTTCCGTGATTTTTATTTGATTCTTTTCATATCAAAGTTTCAGAGAACTTAGTACAGTGGAAAACTACAAACTTTGCTAAAATAGAAACTGATGAAGTCACCATTTGTCTTTAAGGGCAGAAAATTATGCAATGTTCAATTACAAGTTATAAAAGTCTGCACAGATAAATCTAAGCGTTCTCTCTTTTTTTTTTTGGGGGGGGGGGTGAGGGTCCGGTCGTGGGGCCTGAACTCTGGGCCTGGGCGCTGTCCCTCAGCTCTTCAGCTCAAGGCTAGCCCTCTACCACTTGAGCCGTAGCACCACTTCCGGCTTTTTTATTTTCTGCTTATGTGGTGCTGAGAAATCGAACCCAGGGCCTCATACATGCAAGGCAAGCGCTCTACCACTGAGCCACCTTCCCAGCTCAAGCATTCTCTTTTATGATCATTCCACGGCTTAAAAATAACTAACTTCTTTTTAGATAACTATTTCCAATTAACCACTGAAATGGATGTGACAAGAATTAATAGGTAACTTTTACTGGTATGCTTTATCAAATGCTTTATGCAGTGATTCACATATTTACTTGAACAAAACAGTGGCCAGATTAAAGACCAGTTTACACATGGGAGAATGGTTTTTAAAAGAACTTCTTGCCGGGCGCTGGTGGCTCACGCCTGTAATCCTAGCTACTCAGGAGGCTGAGATCTGAGGATCGCGGTTCAAAGCCAGCCCAGGCAGGAGAGACCGTGAGACTCCTATCTCCAATAAACCACCAGAAAACCGGAAGTGACACTGTAGCTCAAATGGCAGAGCGCTCGCCTTGAGCTGAAGAGCTGAGGGACAGTGCCCAGGCCCGGAGTTCAAGCCCCACGACCGACAAAAAAAAAAAAAAAAAAGAACTTCTTTTGTTGTTTTTTTGTCAGTCCTGGGACTTGAACTCAGGGCCTGAGCACTGTCCCTGAACTTCTTTGGCTCAAGACTAGCACTCTCCCACTTGAGCCACACCTCCACTTCTGGCTTTTGCTGCTTATGTGGTACAAAGGAATTAAACCCAGGGCTTCATGAATGCTAGGCAAGCATTCTACCACTAAGCCAGATTCCCAGCCCAAGAACTTCTTTTCTAGATCAAATTGATTTTGTCTACTAAGTAAAACTGGAAAAAAAATGCAAATAATATATTAGAATGAGATTAAGTAACATCATAACATGGAAGTTTTCCCCTAGCAAGTTCCCTGTATTTGTAAACATAGGCTTATCTGCTTAGAACTATTCTCACTGGCTTATATTCTTTTCCCTAGCAAATATATACTCGCTGGCAAATTAGGTAAACAGGATGACAGAATGAAGTAACTCATGACTATGGAATACTCCACTTGGTAGAGTATGGAACTTCAGAGGAATGTAAAAAGAGGAAAGGGATGCCGATTGTGGAGCACATACTCTGTATTACAGAGCTCACATACATTTTTTTTCCGTGCTCTTCAAGGAAAGTATTTAAGCTGGGTATCACTTTTGGTATGCTGATCGAGGCTCTAGTCACAAAGTCAGTCCGTGGCAGGGCCAAGACTCCAAGGCAAGGCAGAGTGACTCCAAAGTTTACACTTCACTACTCACACCTCTGCCTAACTAGATCTGTTCACACCTGGGTTTTTTCTCAGGCTGCAACTGCAACAAATTCTGCCTCAGTCACTGTAGCCTTAGAAACTTAGTTATCTCCCCGCTGCTGCCCTGTCACCCCTTTACACACCTCTTCAACACAGTACACACAGAATCCACTTTCCTACCTTTTAAAGTTTCTCCTTGCAGATGCTCTATTTTTTCTTTCTTTGTTTGCAGTGCTAGGGACTGAACTCAGTGCCTGGAGCATGCAGGGTAAGCACTCTACTTCTGAGCTCCATCCTGAGCCTTTCTTTGAGACACGACCCCCAAGCACAGGCTGCCTTCTTTACCCCTTGGAGACTTAAAGCTCTCTTTTTACAGTTAGAATACAGAGGTTTTCATTGTGATGCCATGGATGTGTACAGTGTACTTTAAAACAGGTCACTCCTCTATTACACTCCTATTAATCCCCTACTTCATCCCTGCTTTTGCTACCTTCATATATATCTGTATCTCCAGATATAGATGCACATGTGTGTAACATACTTGGATCTTCACAACCAAGTACACTCCCACAACCAATCTTCTGTCCCCTTGGCTATAGTCCCCCTTTCACACTTGTGTCCCATCCTTATCACTACTACCATCATCATTGTAAGTCTAAATTCTACCTATGAGAAAAAATATGCAGTATATTTTTTCTATTTTTTGGTGTGTATGTGTGTGTGTGTGAATCCTGAGGCTTGAACTCAGAACCTAGGTGCTGTCCCTGGGCCTACTTGAGCCATAGCTCCACTTCTAGCCCTTTGGTGGTTAATTGGAGATCAGAGTCTGACGGACTTTCCTGCTCAGGCTAGATTTAAACCACGATTCTCAAATTTCAGCCTCCTAAGTAGCTGGAATTACAGATGTGAGCCAATGGCACCTAGATAGTTTTTAATTTTTAATTACACTATGCTAAGGTTAAAAATCAAGCTATAAGCATAAACTCCAGGATGTGATCTCAGCACTGCAAATAATAATGTTATGATACACTGTACAGAAGTAGTCACAAGAATCGTGGAAAGACAATGGTTCACTTACATGTTCTTAGACCTTAAATACATTTTCAATAATATGCCAGACACTAAATCACTTTAGAAATTCAAATAATTATCCAATGTCAGTGTTAACTTTTTAAAAAAAATTTTTTGTTGGCCATGGGGCTTTAACTCTGTCCCTCAGTTCTTCAGCTCAAGGCTGGCACCCTACCACTTGAGCCACAGAGCCACAGAGCCACTTCAGCTTTTTCTGCTTATGTGGTACTGAGGAATCAAACCCCGGGCCTCATGCACAAAAGGCAAGCACTCTACCACTGAGCCACCTTCCCAGCCTGTGTTAACTTCTTGAACTTGAGTTAAATGCTGACTACCTTTTCCAATCTTCCTGCACAAATCAGTAATACCCAGAAAGAGTAAGTCAAGTGCTGGAGTTTTTACTTAAAATAGAATCCATGGACTGTGCAACATATTATAAATACTTTAGAGTGTATCTTGTGTTTAAAAACAAGTCAGTTTTTCTTCAGAGCATGTCAAATATCTGGTTCCTTCTTCCCAACTGTCACTTGTTAGGCATAAAAGAAAGCACAGAAGCTTCATGTAAGTACAGAACAACTTTCAATTTACAAACGATTATGGCAGTTTCAAACCCTAAGAATTTCACATTTTCAAGGCAACGCATACTTTGTTTTGGATGATAAACTCTTCCTCTAAGCTATAAAAGGTGACTATGTATAGAGATGCAGAGGGCATATAAATATTCAGTGGTTGGGGGGGCGGGGGGGGGGGTGGGGATGGGAAGGGATGGGAAGGGGAAACAAAGGAGGAGGCTACAATGCTTGATCAGAAATGTACTCATTATCTTGCCCATGTAATTGTAGCCCCTCTGTACAGTATTTTCACAATAAAAAATAAAAATTAAAAAAAAAAATTCAGTGGTAGGAACATTCTCAGGAATGCCTCTTGTAAAATGTTCATTTGTTCCAAATTCAGTCAGTAATATTCATTAAAATTCAGGGATCCCTAGACAGCATAAGTAAATGTGAGGTAGGATCCATTCCAATATATGGTTTAGGGAAATGTGGTAATATAAAAGTCAGAGTAGGGCTGGGAAGGTGGCTCAGTGGTAGAGCGCTTGCCTTGCATGCCTGAGGCCCTGAGTTCGATTCCTCAGCACCACATAAGCAAAAAGAAAAAAGCCAGAAGTGGCGCTGTGGCTCAAGTGGTAGAGTGCTAGCCTTGAGCTGAAGAGATGAGGGACAGCACCCAAGCCCAGAGTTCAGGCCCCATGACCGGACCTCCCCCCCGCCCCCCCAAAAAAAAAAGTCAGAGTATCTTTCCCTTTGCAGGAAATGGTACAGAGGTGGGAAGACAAATGTACAGGCACCCACAATGCTCAGACAACCCATCGGCAATACCAGGTATAAGGTATGCAGCAAATCCTCAGCTAACGTAGAAACAAGCCAAACAAATGAAGCCCAATAGGTCGCAAAGCCTGAATACCTGTTTTTAAGATCGGCTGTGTTCTTCTTACCAAGATAATTCTCAGATTCTTCATCAAACTGAATCTGATGCTCCGGTCTTGTTCTAACTCTAGCTGTAGGTTTTCTGACAACTTTCATTTCTGATATTATGTTACTGAAACTGAAATAACAAAAAACATCAAGTATATTAGAAATCTTAGCTATGCAATAGTAAGGCACTTTTCTTAAACAGGAGACGAACAATCTAATACTCATTTCACTTTTATGCACTAACATAGCATAAAAATATAAGTTAAAATACAATCATATCTATGTTCTTATCATCTACATAAGTAGCAAATAAGATCTGTTCACTGTTGTATCTGTTGAAAACACAAAAGGGGCCTTTGACTAGCAGTGCAGATATCTAAATTTGTTCTTTACCTTCCTGAGATAACTTGGAACAAATGCCACTGAGGATGGCTGATTTAGATCACATCCTAAACAAAGCATTGGCACTGCTTGCTGGTCTTTGGTCAGCTAAGTACAAGTGGGCATGAAGAAAAAAGGTGAGGTGTGGAAATAGCCCAGCTCCACACGAAGAGAAGGGAAGGAAACAGGTCTATAGTCAACAGTGCATAACTAGAAACTATTTTCTCACATAAACTATTTTGTTATTAGCTCCTTTATTTACTTATTTTTTGTGTCAGTCCTGGGGATTGAACTCAGGGCCTGACTACCGTCCATGAATTTTTATTTATTTTCTGCTGGTGCTCTACCACTTGAGGAACAGCTTTACTTCTGGCTATTTGGGTGGTTAATTGCAGGTAAGAGTATCATGAATTTTCCTGTCCAGGTTGGCTTCCAACTGTGATCCTCAGAACTTAGCCTCATGAGTAGCTAGGATTACAGGTATGAGCAACCGGTGCCTGGCTTGCTTATTTTAATACCATTACTCTGAACTTTTTTTAGGGGCTAGAAGCTTCATAACTTCCTAAAATAAAAGTAGAGTCATAGTCATTGAGTTGGTTTCTTAATCCTATATCTTACTTAATATAGAGGTTTAAAAAAAACTGCTAAACGTGTTTCTGGGGCATTTCAGATGTAAAATGCAAATGCAACACATATCGTTCACCAGCTATGTGAAAAGGGCCTACTTTAGGTTTAACCATTACTGTCACAACTATGTGAACCACTGACCTAATTTTACGTTTCTCTCCAGCTTTCTGTGCCCTTGTGTCTGCCTCGTGCTGCTGGAGCTGCCGGAGCAGCTCTGACTTGGTCATCTTCTTGTCAAAGGGAAGGGACTCTGCAACAGCAGATGCAGCTGCCACCAACTCTGGATTCAGGGACTTGCTTCTGGAAAAGAAAATGAAGAAATAGGAACTAAAGAAGAGGGATGATGCTTATGTGCCTAGTTTAGTGACAAGTAAAATGAAGTGGGGAGGATTATCTTGGACAATTTCTGAAGGCAGGGACTACAAGCATATGCTTCCATACCCAGCTTTAGACATGGGTTTTAGATATACTTTGAAACATTAAAGTGTAAATGAATATACTCCTGAAGCACATGAACAAACCTGAAAATGACATATTTTTTTAGCCAAGAATTGCAATTTAATTAGATGCAAATGAACATCTAATTACACTTAGATTTCTATAGGATCTGTTACCTACTTTGCAATTAAAGTTTCCAAATTATTATTTTTGTGTGTGTGTGTGTGTGTGCATGTGTTTGTTTTGTCAGTCATGGGGCCTGAACTCTGGGCCTGGGCACTGTCTTTCAGCTCTTCAGCTCAAGGCTAGCACTCTACCACTTGAGCCACAGCGCCACTTCCAGCTTATTCCTGCTTATGTGGTGCTGAGGAATGGAACCCAGGGCCTCATGCATGAGAGGCAAACACTCTACCACTGAGCCACCTTCCCAGCCCCAAATTATTTTTTTAATAGAAGATAACTCAAAAATTTGCATGTCACCCTTGCACAGGAGCCTGCTAACTTTCTCTGTATCATTATAGTTGTTGGGTTTTTTTTTTTGGGGGGGGGTCCTGGGGTTTGAACTCAGAGTCTAGGTGCAGTCCCTGAGCTCTTTTGCTAAAGGTTAATTGGAGATTAGAGTCTCACAGTACTTTTCTGCCTGCTAGCTTTGAACTGCAGTTCTCAGATCTCAACCTATTGAGAAGCTAGAATTAAAGGCGTGAGCCACCAGCACCCAGCTATTGTTCCGCTTTTAGTACTGTGCTACCTGAATGAAGACTAGAGTCTCCAAATTCTTAAAACTGCTGGATAAAGATTAGACGGACTTTATTAGGACTTTAATCTGATCTTTTGGAAGATCAGAAAAGAAAAATAGAAATGTGGGGGGAAATATAACAATGAGTCAAAGAAAGTTCTACTTTCAAAACTCTTGATCTACGAATACTGCTTAAACCTCACCCATGTCACTGTATTCCTTTCATAACTTCCTTAAACCTCACCCATGTCACTGTATTCCTTTCATAACTTCCTAACTTCATTTTCACATTTTTTTTTTTTTGACTCAAGTATGCAAGATAGGCAGGCAAGTACTCAGTCTAGAGCCCTGCATGGCCTCAGGATTTGCAATTTGAGGTGGCCCAATAAAAATCATGGGAGAGATTCTGTTACTGAAAATAATTAACTTTTACATAAGTCTGTGCAAGAAGCACAGATTAGAACCTTTATCATTTTAACTATCTATTCTCTGGTATTTCAGATTATTTTACAAATACTTGTACCTTTCATTCCTTTATACTATCTGAATTTCTTCAACATAAACTATGACATACAACTTCAGGAAAGGAAATCTCATTGTGCAAAGCTTTTGGCAAGCAACTTGGTGACATTAAAATTTGTAAATACATGCCCATATCGTAACCCAATAATCCCATTTTTTTTTTCTTTTTGTAGTTCATGGGGCTTGAACTCTGAGCCTGGGCGCTGTCCCTCAGCTCTTAAGCTCAAGGCGAGCACTCTACCACTTGAACTACAGCGCCACTTCCAGTTTTCTGGTGGTTTATTGGAGGTAGGACTCTCACAGTCTTTCCTGCCTGTGCTGGCTTTGAACCGCAATCCTCAGATCTCAGCCTCCTGAGTAGCTAATATTACAGGCATGAGCCACCGATGCCCAGCCCAGTAATCCCACTTCTTAGGAATTTTGTCTTAAGAAAATAATGTGGAATTTGAGCAAAACAGTATACTTCGCACTCAGGACATAAGCCATTCGACTTCTGTCCAGAAACAATCTTAGAATCTGTCCATATCACTCCTAGCTGTATTTTGAATTTGGGCTAAAATGTTAATCAGAGCTTTTCCTTAATCATCCTTAAAAATAGCACTCTCCAGTTCCATCTTTGTTGTTCTTCATCTGTTTATCTGACATAGTACATCCAGGCCTAAGTATATCCCCCTTTCCCACATTACTTCTTACCACTTCTTCACCCGTTTTTGTTGTTTTGTTTTAAGAAAAAAAGAAAAAGTCTGGCCTATAACTTGCTATGTAGTTCAGGTGGTTTCAGATTCTCAATCCTTTCCAGTCTCCCAGGTGATGGGATTACAGGTGTGTGCTACCCCCTGGCTTCTCCCATGTTAAGTTAGGAAGCACGGACTATGTTTTGTTCAGTGTTGTATCTCCAGGACTTTGGACTCCGACTGAGCTATAATGTCAAAGAAAATTTGCTGATGAAACAATGTTAATTGTAGCACTTATACCAGCAAAACCCCCCAAACAATCTAAGGAGCGAATCAAGTAACAGTGAGTCTCCTTTCTTACTGGTTTTTTAGGGCAGGTAGTTTCTTCATTAGGAGAAAATGAAAGCAGAAATTTTGGTCGTGCTACATCCACTCAACACTCAGCTCTCCAAGGCTGTCCCAGCCATACCTGACCCAGGCTGTTAGGAAGATAAAAGACCTACAGCAGCTGGTACAACAGCCTCTCAGGGTGTCCTCTCAGCAAATGTCCTTGTAGCACTCATACAGGTGACATTTTTCACAGTCATGTGAGAGTAGAGACAGAGGGTTGCTCTATGGAAGCCAGGAGGCTGAATGGTTTATGGCCCCATTATAGTGGACAGTTCTTACATCAAGGCCACAAGTGGTTTCTAAGGTTCCTTCAGTGGCCTGGGGCAAGGCAAGTCTTAATATGGTGCCCTCTATGGGTCAATTTTGTGCTGACCACACTGCCTATAATCCAGCTGGTTTTCTATGGTTATCAGGTGTGATGTGTTTAGTTTTCGGGAAGTAAAGAGAACAACATTTTCAGTGCCATACTGGCACCCATATTTCTCCTCTCAGTTCCCTAAGGGAACAGAATGGACAGAATGGGAGAGAAGGGACATTCCATATCTTGTGAGGCAGGACCAAACATGGAATTCAGTACTCCCTATTTGAATGAACTCACTGCCTTCCACCCAACTATGCATTTCAGGGGAGCTTTTTTTTTTAAACTGTTGGGGGCCTGAACTCTGGGCCCAGGCACTGTCTCTCAGCTCTTCAGCTCAAGGGTAGCACTCTCCCACAATACACTTCCGGCTTTTTTCAGCTTATGTGGTGCTGAGGAACGGAATCCAGGGCCTTATGCATGCAAGGCAAGCATTCTACCACTGAGCCAACTTCCCAGCCCCTAGCGGAACTTCTGATAGAAAGTAAAAAGTAAGAAGTTCCAAAAAATGTTAAATCATTTTGGAACACAAGAACCTCCAGTATGTCTTCCGGTAAATGGTCAGTGATAGAGATCCTAAAGTTACAAACCTTATTACTTGAATGGATGACATTGTCTATTTACCAAAAATATTTTACATTCCACTAAAATAAAAAACTACTTAAGCTGTAATACAACACTATTGCTGATTGCATTCAGAATCAGATAAGTTAGATATGTTGATAAGCACTATTATAGTGCACTGGAAAAAAAGAAAGCATAGAAGAAAGAAAACATGAATTCCTGATTAAAGAAAGTTATATACAGGGGCCGGTAGCTTACACCTGTAATCCTAGCTACTCAGGAGGCTGAGATCTGAGGATCACGGTTCAAAGCCAGCCTGGGCAGGAGTGTCCCTGAGACTCTTACCTGCAATTTTCCACCAGAAAACCGGAAGTGGCGCTCTGGCTTAAGTGGTAGAGTGCTCATCTTGAGCTGAAGAGCTCAGGGATAGTGCCCATGCCTAGAGTTCAAGCCCCATGACTGACCAAAAAAAAAAAAGTCATATAAAACAGTTGTAATCAGGCTGGGAAGGAAGGTGGCTCAGTGGCAGAGTGCTTGCCTTTCATGCACGAAGCCCTGGGTTTGATTCCTCAGCACTATATAAACAGAAAAAGCCAGAAGTGGCGCTGTGGTTCAAGTGGGAGAGTGCTACCCTTGAGCTGAAGAGCTGAGGGACAGTGCCCAGGCCTAGAGTTCAGGCCCCACAACCTACAAAAACAACAACAACAACAACAAAAAACAGTTTTAATCAACATGCTGAACTCTACTCCAGAAGCCATGTTTTTTACTTTTTGAGACAAAGTAACCCAGGCAAGCCTCAAACTTATGAGCTTGCTACCTTAGCCTCCAATGGATTGGATTAGGTATGCACCACTGTGCTCAGCTCAGAAGGATGGGAGAGGCAGGATAGGTTATGAACTCAGGGTTTGGTACTTGCTAGCAAGTCTCTCTACTATTCAAGCCACACCTTCAGCCTTTTTGGGCTCTGGTTTTGAGATAGAGTCTCATTTTTTGACCAGACCAGCCTGGACCGTGATCCCCTTCTTATGCTATCCACATAGTTGGGATGACAGATGTGTCACCACACCCAGCTGTTGGTGGAAATGATGGTCTCAGAAACATTTTACTTCAGCTGGCCTCAAATGACCATCCTCCCGATCTCCATCTCTTGAGTAGCCAGCCACCAGTGCCTGGCTGGAAGGAATACTGAAAAAGAAAATGTTAAAGAAGTCTTTTCCTGTCATAATGAGACCTCCAAACCAAGATGTGCATGACACAGTTAACAGTTTAAAGGGGCAACTAAATAGCATAAGAAAATGTTAGAGGGGCTGGGAATGTGGTTTAGTGGTAGAGTACTTGCCTAGCATGCATAAAGCCCTGGATTCGATTCCTCAGTACCACACAAACAGCAAAAGCTGGAAGTGGCACTGTGGCTCAAGTGGTAGAGCAGAGAGACTCAGGGACAGAGCCTAGGCCCTGAGTTCAAGCCCCGGGACCAGCCAATAAAACAAAGAATGTTAGAATCCTCAGATAATTTCTCTAGATTGTATACAGATGACCTGTTATGACATAAATATGAAATGATAGCACTCCTCAAGTAATCACTAGTGTATCTGTTGATAAGCTGTTTACTTTTCGATAATTCAATACCTATCAAGTATTTTAAACATTTTTTACTAAAAGAAAAGGTTTATTGATGCTTCAAAAACCCTTTCAAAGAATATTCAGGAAACTCTACTTCACTGTTGGTGGGAGTTTAAACTTGTTCAACCACTCTGGAAAACAGTATGAAGGTTCCTCAAAAGACTAGACATAGAGCTCCCCTATGACCCAGCAATCTCACTTCTGGGCATTTACCCCAATGATCACAAAAAGGCCATACTAAAGCTACCAGCACAACTATGTTTATCGCAGCATTATTCACCATAGCTAAGATATGGAACCAACCCAAATGCCCCTCACACACACAATGGAATTCGCTTCCATTAGAAAGAATGACACTGCCCCAATTGCTAGGAAATGAAAAGACTTGGGAAAAAAATCATATTAAGTGAAGTAAGCTAGACCCAAAGAAATATAGGTCCCATGGTTTTCCTTATTTGCAATAATTAGTATATGTCTAAGATAATCTTATCAGATTAGCAGAAATGCTTAAAAGCTATGTACATATGACCATATAAGATGGTGCTAAGCAAAATGAACCCCAAGATATGGACACAAGAGGTTTTTCTGTTCTTCCTCCTATGGCATATACCTGCTGTCACTGTATTTTGTCACCCATTTTGGTACACTGCATCTTGTATATGCATTTGTCTAATTTGGTGAGGGGAAGGGGAATAAAAAAATGTTGAAACAAGGACATAGGACAACCATTGCAACAATGAGACTATGAACTTTATAACTTTGGGGGGGCGGGTGAAGGGAAGGGGTAGAAGAAAAACAAAGGAGGGGGTAACACTGCTTGACAAGAAATGTACTTATCACCTTACTGATGTTAACTGTAACCCCTCTGTACAGTATCTTGGTAAGAAAGAAAAAAAAAAAAGAATATTCAAGTTGCAATTTCATTTACCTCTCCACTGAAGCATCTTCTGTAGGTCTTTGGAGCTTTCTAACTGTAGTGTCTAAACTTGTATGAGGTTTCCTGCTGGGTGGCTTTGTTGTTTTAACATGTACTGTCTTCAGTTCAACTTTCATGTCCTTGATAATGCCTAGCAAGTCTTTTTTGATGTTCTCCTTGATTTTGTCTTTGCTCTCTGAAGTCTTAGATGTCTCACTGGTGGAAGCAGACTTCTTATCTTTCTTGCTACAGATCATGCTGCTAGTCCCCAAATATCGCTGAATATTTTCTGTCCTAGAAAGATGGATTAGAGGGGAAAAATGAGGAGGACAATATAAAACAATACAGCAACACTTGAAAAAAAATTTAATTTACAAAATTTTAGTTCAAACACTTTCCATTTTTAAATGCTTTTGATTACTGACTATAACATAAGCAATTTACCATAAGTTAACATATATATTATACCTCTAGCTTTGTGAACACAACGTACATCTATGTATTTTTTCTCATACCCATATCAGCTCTGTGAAATAAGCATTATCCTCATGTCACAGAAAAGGAAGTGACTTATCCATGGTCATGTAGCTCAGAATTCCTGAGGCCTAAGCCACATAGTATACCACAAATAGGTACAGGTGCACTGATACACTAGCCTCCTGGGACTAATGATACTCCTAAGATTGTTGCCTCCTTCCACTTACCCCAGAGTTCAATACAAACATCAGGGGGCTGGGAAGGTGGCTGAGTGGTAGAGCGCTTGCCTTGCATGCATGAGGCCTTGGGTTCGATTCCTCAGCACCACATAAGCAAAAAGAAAAAAGCCGGAAGTGGCGCTGTGGCTCAAGTGGTAGAGCGCTAGCCTGGAGCTGAAGGGGACAGTGTTCAGGCCCCATGACCGGACCCCTGCCCCCCCCCTCCAAAAAAAAACACAAACATCATTTTCTTCTTCTTCTTTTTTTTTTCTGGGTCTGGTCGTGGGGCCTGAACTCCGGGCCTGGGCGCTGTCCCTCAGCTCTTCAGCTCAAGGCTAGCGCTCTACCACTTGAGCCACAGCGCCACTTCCGGCTTTTTTCTTTTTGCTTATGTGGTGCTGAGGAATCAAACCCAAGGCCTCGAGCATGCAAGGCAAGCGCTCTACCACTGAGCCAACTTCCCAGCCCACAAACATCATTTTCTATGTGTTTGATGACATAGAAGAGTTGGAAAACAGTAACATAAGTGATTTATTATTCTCAAATTCAAATATGAAATATGACCCCAAGTTTTGGCTCTCATACTATACTTATCTATAAAATGTCATAATCAAATAGTATGAAAATAAAATTTCTATTAATGAAGAATACTTACAGACATTCCTGGGTGTTATTATAATGACCTTTCTCATTGAAGAATATGCTATATAACCAACCACTATTTGTAATGTTAGAAGAAAAATTCTTTTTTTTTTTTTTTGTCGGTCGTGGGGCTTGAACTCCGGGCCTGGGCGCTGTCCCTCAGCTCTTCTGCTCAAGGCGAGCGCTCTACAGCGCCACTTCCGGTTTTCTGGTGGTTTATTGGATATAGGAGTCTCATGGTCTCTCCTGCCCTGGCTGGCTTTGAACCGCGATCCTCAGATCTCAGCCTCTTGAGTAGCTAGGATTACAGGCGTGAGCCACCAGCGCCCGGCAGAAGAAAAATTCTTGAGACCAATTAAATTTAGTAGACTTTAAGCAAAGCCGAACAAAACAAAACCAATTCACAAAGTGGGAAACTCCCAGAACCAGAGCAGGTTCTGAAAACAGACAGCTTTTATAGAGGAAAGGCCGTCAGGTACAAGAAACAACCTGACTATAGCAAAGTCCATCAGTCAAGTGGTTACAACTTAATTAACTTACAGCTTAATTAGTTAATTGACTACATGCCTCCTGTAACCAAATGAAGCTCAATTACTGTAACTAAGCTCTCTAGGTTATTAGTTACAGTGATTCAACAGGAAGCCTATTGGGTATCCTGCTCAAAGCCACAGCCTTCTGTACATTTTACAGGAAACAATGCCAAAGTGAATCAGAAAAGAGAATATTCAGTAGCTACAGATGTCCCTCCATTTTCATTACACACCCTTACAAAAAGTAACGCAAATGATTACATCTGTTTCAGACCCAGCCAAAAATATCCTCCCCTTCCCCAATCTGTGATATAAAATCTAGGGCCTCACACTTATTTCCTACATTCATTCATTTACTTGTTAGCAGTAATGGAGTTGATACTCAGGGTCTCTGGCTTGCTAGGCAAACTACTTGAGCCATTTCTTACTTTTAAACAATCCAAATATCTACTTTGATTCCACATTTGGTATTGCCACTTTAACTTTAAAAACTAATGAGCATGTTAGTTTCACAATGCAGGAATAATGTATATTTTTTAAGATGTCACTGAATATAGCAAGTATTTATTCTGTGCCCAGTACCATATCAGGTGTTGACGACATAAACTAGTGATAAGAACTAAAAATGTGGGGCTGGGGAGGTGGCTCAGTGGTAGAGCGCTTGCCTTGCATGCCTGAGGCCCTGGGTTTGATTCCTCAGCACCACATAAGCAGAAAGAAAAAAAGCCGGAAGTGGCGCTGTGGCTCAAGTGGTAGAGCGCTAGCCTTGAGCTGAAGAGCTGAGGGACAGCGCCCAGGCCCAGAGTTCAGGCCCCACGACCGGGGGGGGGGGGGGGGGGGGGGGGAAGGGGGGGGTTGGAGGGTAAAATGAACTCCCTTCTCTCAACACTCGTCTCTTGACTTAATTGGTCTGAAGTACAGTGAGCAGCCAGATTTGGGTACAGTAACAATGATCGTACCTTTAGGCAGACCACAGCACTTCTTCTCAAAACTAATGTAGAGGCATTTTCTACTACTTGCTGGAATATAGTCTTTTTTATTTTTCGGTGACCGTATTGGGGCCTGAACTTACGGCCTAGGCGCTGTCCCTTAAGCTTTTTTTTTTTTCTTTCTTCTTTTTCTCAAGGCTAGCATTCTACCACCTGAGCCACATCTCCACGTTTAGCTTTTTGGTAGTTAACTGGAAATTAAAAAAAAAAAAAGTCTCACGGACTTTGCTGCGCGGCCTGGCTTTGGTGAGCCACAATTGTGGGCGCTCAGCCTCCGGAGTGGGAGGGATGACAGGTGTGCGCCAGCGGCTCCCGGCTGAAGTAGGTTTTTCCTCGTCATCATGCGCGTACAGGAAAGAATGAAGGAGGGAGGAGGGAGACCATCACAATAACCTTCCGGCTGCGGAGCCTGACTAACTGGAGAAACGCCGCGCGCGGGAAGAAACCCCGCAAGGGTGGGACCGCAGACCACCAGGCCGCGGGCCCCGCGCGCCGGGACCCGGGCCCAGTCACCGGTCCTCCCCAGGACGACCTCCCTTCCCTCGCCCGGACGCCGCCGTGGCTCCTAAGGTCCTGCTCGGCCTCAGGCCGAGCAGGGAGTCTAACCCCGCGCACCCGACCAGGCCGCGGTGCCCGCACACCTGCGGGCCCGCACCGCCGCAAGGCGCTACCTGGATGTTCCCGGCGGGGCGGCGAGCGGCGCCATCCAAGCGGCCGGAGTCTCGGGGGTGGCGGGGCTTGGAGCGCGGCGGGAGAAGGGGAGCCGAGGCCGGCACGCACACACCCGCCGGAGCATCGCGGATAAACCACAGGGACCTGCAAGGACAACCGGAACAGGCGGTCCGTCCGCCAAATTCGTCCCCCTCTCCCTCCCTCGTCCCCACTCCCCTCCCCACGCTAGCTTCCGTTCTGTCCCTGGTTCGTTCCTGTCCGTTCATAGCCCGGAGCACAACAAAGGTCGGAAACTGTGTTCCGGGCCCCCTGCTTGGCCCCCCCGGAGGCGGCTCCTGATGCTGGGGCCAGGAAAAGGGCACAGACTGACAGGGACTTGTTTTCCTGGACAAAGGATCCGCAAAGGTTATACTCTGAAATGGATCCATGGCCACCGAAGATTTTTTCCTTCCTTCCTTCCTTCCTTGCTTGCTTGCTTGCTTGCTTGCTTCCTTCCTTCCTTCCTTCCCTCCTTTCTCTTTCACAAATACACAATTTTATTTGCTATGTTCAGTGGAAAAGTTGCCATTCCACAAAGCAGCAAAAGAATACAATGACTGTCAGTTGAATAAAAACCACATTTGATAAATAAAAAAAGAATACAATGAATCTTGATCAATGTCACTCTTTTCATGATTAAGAGGTTATTGGGTGGGGGGGGAAAGAGGGAGAAAAATAGGGAAAGGGTTAGAAGTCAGACAAGAAATGTAATCATTACCTTACTAATGTAACTGTAACCTCTCTGTATATCACCTTGACAATAAATTTTTTTAAGTTTTTTTTTTATTTCCCATAATACATGCTGCCAGAGAAAGCAAGCTTTCTATTAAATCTCTATTTTTTTTATTGAGGGGGAGGGGCAGTACTGGGATTTGAACTCAGGGCCTCATTCAGTTTTCCTATTCAGGGCTGAACTTGAGAACTTGAGCTAGGTCCCCAGTTCTGGCTTTTTTGCTGTTTAACTGGAGCTAAGGCTCTTAAGAATTTTGTCTGCCCAGACTGGTTTCCAACCATGATCTTCAGATCTCAGCTTCTCAAATAGCTGGGAACATTGGCCTGAACCACCAGCACTTGGCTTTTCAGTTCTTGATATAACACTAGAACATGTGACATGTATGTTTCATATTTTAAAAATGGCTTTAAAGATTTTTTTGAACATGCAAGAAAAAGATGTAGCACAAAAAAAATGTAGCTTTTCCCTTTCACTTCATAAAATGAGGGAGAAGTACTCTTGCTGGTAGGTTCCCAAACCTAGGCATCAACATGGAGAGCAACTTGGGCCATTATCACAATGAATCCCATTTGGACAAGTAATTTATGCTAATAAAACCTAAAACTAAATTTTAGAATCTGAGAAATGAATCAAGGTTGGGATGTAAATGTCTGTGATGCTGTGACATGGTTTACACTGAACAGATCTGCCTAAGATCCCATGAACCCTGGCAGAACCTGTGGCTGGATGTTAAACACAGGGCACTTAGCTGGGCACTGGTGGTTCATGCCTGTAATCCTAGCTACTCAGGAAGCTGAGAGCTGAGGATCATGGTTCAAACCAGCCCAAGCAGAAAAATATGTGAGATGCTTATCTCCGATTAACCACCAAACAAACAAACAAACTGGAAGTGGCACAGTGGCTTAAGTGGTAGAGCACTAGCCTTGAGCTGAAGAGCTGACAGCGCCCAGGCCCAGATTCAAGCTCCAGGACCAACACACATACACACGCATGCATGTGCACACACATACACACACACACACACACACACACACACACACACACAACACTACTTTAAATGAAGGGCATTTATTATTAAATTATTGAATGTTCCACCACTCCCAGCATAAACCATCCAGTAATAGAGTACAATATAAAGCTGATATAACACTGAAAAATGACTTTACTCTATTTTATTGAGACAGGGTCTCACTTTATAACTGAGGCTGACATGGAACCTGTGATTCTCCTGCCTCAGCCTTCTGAGTGCTGGGATTATAGGAGTACAATGCCATACCTGGCTACTATTACTTTTTTTTTAAATATAGTTAATGTACTTTTTTTTTTTTTTTTGGCTGGTCATGGGGCTTGAACTCTAGGCTTGGACGCTGTCCCTCAGCTCTTCAGCTCAAGGCTAGCACTCTACACTTGAGCCACAGCACCACTTTTGGTTTTCAGTTAGTTAATTGGAGATAAATGTCTCACAGACTTACTTGTCTAGACTGGCTTTGAACCATGATCCTCAGATCTCAGCCTCTTAAGTAGCTAGGATTGTAGGCATAAACCACTGCTCGTTAATGTACTTCTAAATACAAGCATTGAAGCAAATGGGATGGAACAATTTTAAGGATACAGGAGGGCATTGTTTCCAGCCAGTTAATGTACTGATCTCTTGAATGTATGCTGCAAAAGCAGCAACCTAATAGTGTGGGCTCTTGCATTTAGCAGTGGATGTTGAGAAGAGTTTTCCTACAATACTACTTAGCTCTGGATTTGGACAGCATAGGAGCTTTAAAGAAGTTCCTTTCCTGAGACAAAACTGAACAAGAAATAAGCATGAGTCTTTACATTGAGAAGACCCCTGTACTACAGCAGTCCCAAGACTTCCACAAGACCAGGACCTGCATGTGGTGAAAAGCTCTGATCAGGGGGAAACTGCCTCTCAGAAGGCCACAGGCTTGTGTGGCCAAGCATCCAGCTGAGGAGCACTCTTGATATTTGGGTGACCCATTGGATCTTGTGAAAGGAAGGAACTTGCCCCTGGATAAGGTCCTTAACTCTCCCTGTGTCAAATACTTTGCCTTTGAGTACAGGCCAATGCCTCCCCCATCCACCTAATTCTTCTCCCACTATAGACTGCTGATGTCAGAGACACCTGATGGATGAGGGAGGCACTGTTCTGTCACCTTTGAGGGTCCCTCAAAGGAGACATTAATAGTGCACTTGGATTGGCTGTCTTTAGAACACAGGGTATTAACTCATCTTTCCCTAATCTTTGATCCTTAGTTGCTAGCTTGGGACAAGAGCATCCTAGTTAGTTTACACTTTGTGGAAATTATGTCATATACAATTAGAGGTACAGTAGCTCCTCCTGCTCTGAATATTTTGTGTGTTCAGGGAAGGAGGAGATTCTCCACAAAAAAACAGAGATAATCTTCAAATCTCCACTGACCATTGTAATCAACGTGCATAAAAGAACAAGAAAGCCAGGCACCGGTGGCTCACACCTGTAATCCTAGCTACTCAGGAGGCTGAGATCTGAAGATCTTGGATCAAAGCCAGCTCGAGCAGGAAAGACCATGAGACTCCTATCTCCAATAAACCACCAGAAAACTGGAAGTGGCACTGTAGCTCAAGTGGTAGAGCGCTCGCCTTGAGCTGAAGAACTGAGGGACAGCACCCAGGCCCAGAGTTCAAGCCCCATGACCAACAACAACAACAACAAAAAAAGAACAAGAAAGATGTAAAGACTTAGGGTTGGAAGAGTCTAGGATGGTGGTTACTAAGGAAACTTTTGCTATAAGTTCATTATTTCTCCTGCTGTAGTCAATAGTGACCAAAACTAGAAACTGTTGCCCAGAGTACTTTGGTGATTATATAAAATATGTTTAATATAATCATACAATATTTAATATAATTATAATAGTGTAATATATAATATAATACACAATTATATTTTATATGAACTATATTTCAATATATTATATCACATGTAATATACAATATATAACATGTAACTTGTATAATATTAAATGTGTATAAGATGCAAGATATATCATGTAATATATTACATAATACACTACAGAATACATTGTATGTACACATAAAATAAATCATATAACATCTATTATACATAACATTATATATCTTGTATGATCTGGTATATGTTACATATTATATGTCATATATGCTATATATGATATATGATGTATACTGTATCAATAATATCAAATAATTATGCTATATTAATAGCATACACTATATATTATATAATATATTCTATATTGTATACGATCTATATATAACATGTATTATACATAGTATATATACTATATAATAAAATATGGCATATATCGTATATATGATAAATATATATTGTATATCTGTGTGTTCTTGTAATGCTTATTTTCAGTAATTAAGTGCAAAGTATTTGCAAGTTTAAAAATGTTTTTCATGTGTTTTATTATGAGTCAAGTGACTCTTCATTCTATTTCTCAAATAGCATTAACATTTTTGAAAATAGTTTTGATTTTACATTGAAGTGAAAACATTGCCAAAGAATGTGCATGTGCCAAGAGCCAGTGGCTCACACCTGTGATCTTAGCTACTCAGGAGGCTGAGATCTGAGGATGATGGTTCAAAGGAAATTCGGTGAGACTCTTATCTCCAAAAACAACAACAAAAAAGCCACCAAAGAAAAAAGCTAGAAATGGAGTTTCAAGTGAGGAAAGCTCAGGGACATAGCCCAGGCCCTGAGTTTAAGCCCAGATCTGGCACATATATACAAAAAAGAAAAGAAGGAAGGGAGGGAGGAAGGGAGGGAGGGAGGGAATATGGCCCAGTAATTGAATGCTTCTTTTATTAGAAGAGTATCCAATGAACATGTGTGTTTATGAGTGTGAATGAGTGTGTGTGTGTGAGAGAGACAGAGAGACAGAGAAACGGAGAAAGACAGGGAGATACAGAGACAGAGATAGGAAGGGAGAAAGGGAGGTGACAGAAGGGAAGAGAGAGAGAATCAGAAAGAGAGATGCAATGCCTTTTTTACCTTGGGAAAATCTATTATTATTGTTGTTGTTGTTATTGTTAGTGGTGGTGGTGGTGGTTGTAAGGCTTGGAGTTGTGTTGGCCTGGGCTCTGTCCCTGAGCAAAGCTACTCAAGGCTATTGCTCTACCACTTTGAGCCACAGCTTATTTCCAGATTTCCAGTGTTTCATTGGAGATAAGAGTATCTTGGACTTTTCCTGCCCAGACTGGTTTTGAACTGCAATCTTCAAATTTCAGCCCCCTGCATAGCTAGGGTTACAGGGATGAGCCACCAGTGCTTGTCTCTCTTCAATGATGCAATCATACAGATTTATGGCAATGATTTATGCAGACAGTAACTCAAAGAAACTAGAACAGGGCCTGGCTGGGCCTAACAAAGAGGA